TTAAAACAAACTTTAAAAGAAGAATTTTAACTCAATATTGATTGAATTACAACTAAATTTATCTTTTATCTTTTGTAAAATTTCTTTCTTACTTTTTGTCCTTACTCTATCTCTTTTTTCTTTTATATAATTTTTATGTAATTATATTATCATTTTCTAATCTACATTTTATTAATTTATACCAAAATCCTATATTTCATCTATTTATAATAATTCATTAAACACAATTAGTTACTTCCTTATTTTGTTTTTATTAATTATATACAACAATTTATATTACAAATCTTATTTGTACCAGTATTCAAATCATATTTGTAACCCAATTACTCTAGTTATATACCAGTATTATTTCTGTAATATCTCAATTATACAATCTTTGTTCCTATTTGTTATTCTTATAAAATAAACTATTTAACTATTAGAAATTTTTTTAAGTTTCTAATATAATATTCATTTAACTTATAACAAACTTAAAAATATCTATTTTAAATAATCAAGACCCTGATATAACAGATTTTGATTTCTTTTATCAAAACTTCTCCAACAATTTTGGAATTATCCTTTATGAAAAAGAAAATAGTAACAATACTATCCAATTCTTTCTAAAGTCAAACTCATTTCTTGTTTAACTAAAAATCTCAGATCTAACAAAATTAATTATTTTTTTCAAGCTCCTATTTTTACCTTTATAATTATTTGTTTTTATAACAAATACTACACCAAATTCATTTAAATTACTAACACTAACTATATTCAAGCTACTGAATTCACTACAATTTATGTTAACAGTAATATAAAAAAGAATCTTAATAAACCAACTCAAAAACTCTTAACTAATCTCTTTTTTTTAACTGACAATATTCCTTTATCTTTCATTTCTGATATACATTACTATACTTGCCCTAAATGTTTTTTTCCAATTGGCTGTATCAAGAGAAATGATCATCATTACCTTAATAAAAAATATGTCACTAAATATAATGAAGTTTATTACTTTATCTGTATGACTGCCTCATCTCAACATGAAGCTAGTTCATTTCAAACTAAGAAAAATCTCACTCAAACCATCCAAAATATCTTACATGAATCCTCTCATACTACTAATTCTTTTATTATCTTTTCTTATCAAATTTTATTTCTTCTGATCTTATCAATTTCTTTTTTACTACAACTACCAATACTAATTCTATCTCTAATCAACCTCCAATTACTAATATTACTAATAATGCTAACTTAAATCTCAATAATTCTAACAATACTAACCCACATGACAGTACCTTTAAAAACCTTCTTTTCAAACCTATTCTAGTGTTGCTAAACCAAAATCTAATTCTACATATGACTGTCTTACAAAATTTTCAATTATCAAAAAAATGCAATTCAATAAAAAATTATAAACCATATTTTTTCTTTAATTTTTTATTTTTCTTAAAAAATTTTTTATGATTTTTATCCTGGTAAAGAAATTAAGTCTGCCACTTCTACTCAACTTACACTTAAGGCTTCATTTTATTATATTATTTATATCATGGCTAGGCAATAGTCAGAATTCTTAACTGATCTTATCTATAGTAATAATTCTAATATTAACAAAAGTGTTACTATTCCTTTTAATCTCCTTGAATCTATCCTTAAAAATTTATTTCTTAAATTCACAACTGTCCTTTTTACAAAACTTAATTATCTTAAAATCTTTGGCTTATTAGTTAGCATCCCTCTATATACTGCTTATAATCATCTTCAACTTTGCTTCAATCTTATATGAATTTACCGCTTCTTATTTAATAACTACCAATCAATCAATTATCAAAAATTTGCTAAAGATTTAAAGCTCAAATATAAAAGATTCAAAATTGAATCTTTTATTCAAACCACTGATCTTGACCAAAAATATCTTATTATTTAATCAAATGCTTGATTCAATATCAAGCTTTTTTTTAATATTTTTTTTTTTTTTTTTATTAAATAATGCCTAAGTAGAAACTTTATTACATATAGAAACATATGTTCCAAATTTAAAGATTTCTAAACTACATTTGTGCTACAATTAGGCACCCAATATGACATTATACCTTCTATTTTCTATGTTATGCTATAGCTACTATTTCAAATTAGGTTCTAGCTAGGATAGGTTAGAGGAAACCTTCAAGTGATTGTCTGAATATTAAATTATGCAAGTTGTTAGAGAGTATCCCTATAAGCAGTGTTGTTACTCATACAAGATCAGACTCGGACCAGACTCAGACTCAGACCAAACTTGGACTCGAACAAACAAATTTGTCTGCTGAACTAATCTAATTTTAAACTACTATATTAAACTGGCTAAAAATAAGTGCTAAAATAAATAAAAAGTTATCAATACTAATTAAGAAATCTGTAAAGTGCTCTTTGTATATAAATAATAATAATTTATTTATTGAAGAAATTATGATCTTTCAACTCTAAATTTAGTAATAATAATTTATTGAAGAATAATGCAAACATTAAATAATGTAGCTTAATATTAAATTCAAAAAAATTATAATTATAATTTGTAAGTTTAGTAATACAAATGTTTAATAATTAATAGAAAATTAAAATAATAAATTACTTTGTGAATGTTTTGCATATGCATCATATAAGTATTCAAAATAGCTAAATATAATTAGGTTAAATGTGAATATTTGAAGAACAGTAACTTTTCTTATAATAAACTAGAATAACGATCATAATAAGTATATAAAAAAACAATCTGTTAAACAATAATAAAATGATAATATAAAATTGTCACTTCAATAAATAATAAAATTTTTATTAATAAACTGATTTTAGAATCAGTTTTATAAAAAATTGCATAATTTTGTATGCGATTATATACTTACATATATATATATAATGAAGGGGATGGGGTCCTGTAGCCTAGTGGTCTAGACACCCCTCACTTTACAAACAAAGTCGACAGTTCAATTCTAGCTAGAGGCAAAACTCTGTAATCTACAGAAGTATATGAATGTACATGAAGCCCTGTAGCTTAAGTCCATGTAAATAGAAAATTAGTATATAAGAAAGTTTCTGGAAAGAAGTTTTCTGATATAAAGAGTTGACGCTCGATATGAAAGAAGTAGTGAACATACCATAAATAGAGAGAAGGCACACTAGCAAGTAATACAGTGAATATAAAAGGAAACTATGAAAAAGAAATGGACTTACTGAAACTCAAACACCTCTGGCACCAAAACTGATTTAGTAGATACGAGATACACTAATACAGATAAAATCTAAGGGGGTAATCTTGGTACCATACTTAGTAAGTTTGCATCGAGGGTAAATTTGAAGGACTATGGATACTCGGTAACATCCAATGAGGTGGTACCTTGATATAAATAGTAATTAGATAGCTCTAACCTGGTATGTCTATATAGTAATGAAAGGTTGTAATGCATAGGATTGAAAATCAGAAAGTTTAAATAGAGGATTTACAGGCGGATCTCAGGTATGGTAGCTAGTGGGTAACTCTCAGATAGAACTCTTAATTAGATAATGACTAAAGTTATATGCATGGCTAGTTATACTTTCATTGATAAACTATGTATTTATTAATAACTAGATATTATTCAATAAAAGACAGACAGGCAAGATTGCTACTTATAATACAAAAAAAAAAAAAAACATATATATATATAATCTTTTTTTTGAATCTTTTAAGTAAGAGATACCAGAAGGTGTATTATATTTATATTTTATTTTAATAAAAAACATAAATCAATAAAAACATAAATCAATAAAAACATAAATTAATAAAAATATAAATTGAATAAAAAAAATTATGGCAATTCTAAATTATTAAAAAGTGTGTTCAAATCCTATTTAGCATTAGAATCAACTGCTAGATAAACAATATCATTGATTGTTAAAATTTCTTCATCTTCATCTTCAGTGTCTGTTAATTCTTCATTTTCATCTGCTAATATGTTTTTCCATAAATCTAAAAATTGCCCAAATTCAGTCTCTAAAGATTCTGAATCAATAACTTCTTTATCAAAGTTTTCAATTAAAATATATTCATTTTTTGCTTTATCAGGTTCTTCAGATTCAGTTTCAATTTCTAATTCATTTTTGAATTCAATTTCTGGTTCAATTTCATAAAATTCATTATCTTCATTAATTTGATTTTGTATATCTTGTTTATGAAAATTTTGTAGAGATAATTCAATGAATTCTGATTTTTGTCGATGACTTCATGTTATTTTGGCTCTTAGATTAAACATATTAAGCACTTTTTGTTGCTAAAAAATAAATAAATAAACAGGTTATTACCTAATAATTATGCTTATCTAAATTCTAACTTTTTTGTAGATACAGATAGCTATTATAATTTTTATTATAAATAGAGGTTAGCTAGTTTCAAAAGTAAGGACCAGTCTTTTTAAATAGTCATATAATTGGTTTCAGTCTTAAGACTAATTTAAACTAGTCTTTATAAATAATTAAAAAAAATCAATTTAAAAAAATTATATTTTAATTATCAATATTATATTGGCTTAGTGCTAAAAAAAGCGATAAACAATTCTTTACTTAAAATTAATTATAAACTATTGATTAGAATTATATAATTTTGTATTATTCAATTTATCTAATAAGAAAAATTAAATAGTACTCAATTATGTAATTCTGATCAATAGTTTATAAGATAATTAATTTTAGTAAAGAAATTTTTTGTTAATTTCATTCTTTTCTCTAATATATGCCTATAAGATTTAATTCTTTTTATTATCCAATAGAATAATTTTGAAACTAAAACTGAGACTAAAATAAACTAAAAAAATAATAATAATAATCTTATTATAGACTGGAACTAACTAGACTAGATCAATTATCTTTAATTATAAATCTTTAATATATTATTCAATTTATATATTAAAAATAAAAAAATTATTACCATTAATTGACTTCTTCAGTTTGTTTGTAAAAATTCCATACAACTCCAGAGGCACTCAACAGCAGCAGCACTTATACAAATTCTATATAATCTGCAAGCTACTATTCCTAATTCCTTTGTTGAAAGCAGCAGCAAAATTCCAATATTTTCGAATATCATTAAATTGATTATATGTCTCATTATTAAATGGATAGATTTTTGTTGAAAAATCATTAAATTCATGCAAAATGCAAACTGGATTTTTTTCTGACCAGGCTCTATAATAATAAATAAAATATTTGCCTAGCTGAGCATAATTTATCATTAATTTATTCTTAAAATAGATCATTCGATATTTTGGATGCAACAAAAATGATAAAACCAAAAGTGGTTGTTCCCAACTATTTCATCTCTTATTCAATCAGATCAAAATTTTTTTAGCAAGATCTTGATTCATATAATTCTTCTAAAATTGAACCAAGTATGCATAACTATGCATTACATCAATTACTTTTGCATTATCATATTGTAAAACATTTAATACTTTACAATAAGGATACAAAACTTCTACAACTGTCATCAACTTCGTCCAAAAAGTATCAGAATTGATAATTTCAAAAATGTCTCGATTTATTGTTAGATTTTCACTATTTCGCCACTGAACTTGAACAAATGGTGGTTGATGATTAATCACTAGTACCTAAAAATAAAGTTTTAAACTTAATAATGCTTTGTTAAATAGATAATAAAACTTTATTATTGCTATAAATATTAAACCAAAATTTTAAAATGATTATAATTTGCAATTAATAAATTTATTTAATACTTTCAATGCCTGTTGACTTCATAAAAGACTAATCACTGCTATATAATAACTATTCTATCAAGTTTCTCCCAGAACTGTTATTCCATAATATTTATTGTAAATTAGTTTTTGTTGATCACATAATTTTGCAATAAAGTATTTGTTATGTGCATTATTAAAGTATGCTGATAATTTAATTGTACGATCTATTGTTGTTTTCAAATCGGTTGATTCCTTAAAAACTTCACCAATACATAAATTTAGTTGATGAGCAAAGCATGGTAAAAATACTATATTCCTTTCAGAAAGTCTTAATCTTCATCTAATCTTAAATTAATTTTACAAATAAGTTAATAAATTAGAAATAGAATATTCTCAAGCTTCTAATTAGCTAGCAATATTATTAAATTCTAAGCTTATAAACTTGCATGTTTGCAAAATTATACAGTTATAAAATTCAAATTATAAGTATCACAAAAAAAAAACTGTAATTCATTATCTAATAATAATTATAGATTTTTTCTTACAATATACATATATTGCTAAACAAAATATAATAAATAATATATTTCAAGTTAATAAAACTATTCAAAGTATTAAATTTAAATAAAGAATTTAATTTTTCTATTTAGCAAACTCATATATTAAATTACAGACTATTGAATTATTGATTATTTAATTACTAAATTTTTTGAATTGTATATAGTATAATCATGCTATTAAAAAAAAACTTGTAACTGTAAATTTAAGTTTATTATTTATTAGACCTAACCAATAATAAATTATCATTACTAAGTTCTATAAATAATAGATTTAAATTTCCAGTTATAGGTTTTTTTTAATAATACTTATATATACCGTAAAGTGCTTAGAGTAAATTTTCTTATAAGTTTTATTCAGTATCAAGGATTAAAATTAATTTATACTATTCCTACATATACTCAAACACTCCTGGTTACAAACTACAATCCTCTTGGACCACTAACCTCAAACTTCAAACATTTAACTCATTACAAAAAAAATGCTCTGTTTTGGCTTATATGGATGATACTCTTTGGATTGCCTCATCACAATCTGAAC